GATGAAATAAAATGAAGCTATTTTGTTTTTATGTCACCTTCATCAGTCGCTCCATTTTCTCTTCCTCTGTTTCCTCGTAGCCATCTTTAACGTATTTGGTCAGCATGTCAAAAGCTTCTTTTGTGGGCTCATTACCCAGGAAGGTCTCAGTGAGGGTCACAAACTGGGAGACATTCAGCGAGTTCTCGTCAAAGGCTGACTGTCCAGATCCCTTGCTCATTGTGGTCAATGCTGATAAAGGATTTAAAAAAATAATTGAATGAGGCTATACTTATGGATATTAAACCATTATTATTGTAGATAATTAATGGGACCCTTGTTTTTTGTTTGTTCGTTTCTGTTTGCTTTTTTATGAAATAGTGGGTAATTCTATCAAAGGGTGACAACTCTGCAAATGACCTGCTATATTTATCTTAAAAATTCAGTTGATTTTCTTTGCAAGTAACAAACAACATATTTTTTCTCTTTTCTTTGTTACCTTGCTTTAGATGTTTTAGAGCAGTAATTAAGGACTTTTACCTGTTTTCTCTCTATGAAAAGTTGTGCCAGCAGCAAATTTGACATTGCCTTTTTCTTCCTCAGTAGCTGTAGTCACTGAAGATGGAGCTGCAGAGGTTTTAGTGGTATCCTTTCCTAGAAAACAATTTAAATATTTCTTTTTTTCAGTTTCTAGAAAGACTGCAGATATAGAAAATAGACAATTAAATACTAAGTCCATTAGATACATCTGTACAATCTTTGCCTTTGATTCATAATGAGACTCCAATTACATAAAGCAGCATTTCCAGACTATAATTTGTTACACTCTTGAGTATTATAGATCAAAGCAACTGAAAGTCACAGAACTGAACAAAAAGCATGCAATGCAAAGAACAAAAAAAAATTACAAATGCTTCTGGGGAAACAAACCTCCATCTACTCCAACTGAGGAGGCCTCTTTCTCAGGTTTTGGAGGCTCTTCTTTTTGTTCTTTTTCCTCTGATTCAGCTTTGAGTTCTGACTTTTCAGGCTCTGGTTCAGCAGTTTCCTTCTTTTCCTCTGGTTTTTCCTCTGTAGGAGGAGGAGTAGCAGGCTTGGTCTCTGCTTTTTCCTCCTGTTTTGTTTCCTCTGATGGCTGTTCCTCTTTTGTCTCCTCTGTCTTGGCTTCCTCTGCTGGTTTTTCCTCTTTCTTTTCTTCTTCCCCTGATTTTCCTGCAGACTTATCTTCAGTTGTTACTGTTAATACTTCTACCTCTGGTTTTCCCGGTTCCTCTGGTTTAGGAGAAGGTGTTGGTTTTTCCTCAGCCTTTTCATCTGGCTCAGCACCAGGTGGTTCAGCTGTGTCTGGTTTCTGTTCTGGTTCAACCTCGGTTGTAATCGGTTTACTTTCAGCAGTAGTGGCTGGGATTTCTATTTTGTCTTCACTAGTTTGTTCGGTTTCCTCTGGTTTTTCTGGTGCTGGTTCAGCTGGTGTAGGTGATATAGATGCAGGAGTTGGTTCGGTAACTAATTGAAGCAGGTAACAAAACATGCAGGGAAATGTTTCAACTTTCAAAAAATGTGCCAATATATTAAAGCATCTCAGAGTAATGAACTTTTATATAAAAAAATATATATTTTTTAGATTTTGTTTCCTTCAATGTTTCTGACCATCTTGGTCAAAATATTTTAAAATGCAGTATTAATTATATTTAAATCATTTAGGATCCTGTATTTGTTCATCACACCTCATTTGATGCTCTAACATAAAGCATTAAGTAATTCAATGTACACATTTGTGGGTTATGGCAGTAAAAGATAAAATGAACAATGCAGATTTTACAAGCAAAGCAGGGTGATGGATTGAAGCCTCACCAAATACTGATTAAATAAATCACACAAGATAAAGCTCACAAATTATTTCTTCATGTCATTTCACAGATTTATTAAATAAGAAACATTATAAATCTCATGTTAAAATTTTATAACATTAAATCGAATTTGATATTTTTTTATGTATATTCAGGCCAAGTTTGCAACCCATTTTACATATAACTGCTACTTCCTGGAAAATCTACATATATATAATTATGAACAAGAAAATAAATTAATCCAATGAAATAACAAACAAGAAATAACAATAAACTTTACAGACCTGTTGGAACAGTAGTGGTTTCTTCTTCATCATCAAAAATATCCTCAACTTCATCTACCTCTGCAACAGGCCCTAGAACAATAAAACCATTCAAATAAAATTTTTGTTACAGGACTTGAATCCATTTGTTGAACAAGGCCTTAGAAATGTCCTAGCACATCACTAGAAGAAATTCTGGTGAAAGACATACTTTCCCTTTGAATAAATAAATACTATAATAGTGTCTGCATGGAGAGTGAAAGGGTTGTTAGGGGCATATAAAGGATTACTCTATACCACAGAATAAACTTTCTATACAATAGAAAAAATATGTATATATACTGTAAATTTGTGTGTAAAACCCAAAGCACTCTGATTCAACAAACAAATTCAATGATAAACCTCTACTCAGACTTGTTTTATTACACATATGTTTCCTTAATGTATTACAGGTTTTTCTTGCTGATTTTTCTTCTGACTTACATCTGCGAGGGTTCCGAACATTTTTCTTAATGTCTTCTTTAATGGAATCCCAGAATGCCTCAAAAAGGCTAAGGATTCTGTGTCTGTCTAGCAATCCAATCTGAAGAACAAATTAAATATTGTTTTATTTTCAACTGTATTTAACATTCTAAAGAGAGAGAGAGAAAATTATAGGATAAAATTTCACTACAGAGCTATCCCTAGGCCTTTGACTTACTCCACTGTGATCACACGTAATGAAGAGGTTCGTTAGCACAATTCTCCTTTGCTCTCTGTTAGCAGCAGCACGATGAGACTCAGCACACAGAGACAAGTGCTGCATGAACTGCTCAAAGACCTCATAGCTGAAGTCGTCCACAAACATTGTCAGATACTGAAAAATCAAGAGTCTAACTTAAACCCTTCACAAGAAGAGTGGCTCAAAAAAATATATTTAGAAGAAATACTTCTGAAGAAAAATCAAATCTATTTTGTAAATGTGAGTGTTTAGTATAAACTGTTTTTAATACTGTCTACTTTTCCATTTTAATTTCCAAACCTTAGCGAATTCCTTGACAGACAATGCCTTTCCTGACTCATCGGTTGGTTCCAGAGCTCGACTGAGTTTAAATCCATCTTTCAAGTCTTCTGGGAAACTTTCTGCTATTTCAGCAAATGAACGTAGGGCATTTTGTACCTAAAAAATTTAAGAATAAAAATTAATAGATTATTCATATGTAAGTAAACAATATATATCGACAGTTTTCTATTGTTTGTGTCTCTCTTCTTCTTTACTGCTCTAAACAATTCTTTTAATGTTGTTTTGTGCATATATTCTAAACTTGAGATACTGGCCCAATGTTGTTGATGTAATGCCTTATATATGATTGTGCTTATTGATATTAGTTTGTTTTTTTTTAAAATGGAAGTTTAATTCAGTCAATTTTCAAAACAGTAAAATTGGTTTAAGACAACAAACCAAAGGATGGACTTTATATCTGAATAGACTGAAAGATTTTTTTCATTTTTTTCCCATCATAAAGTCTAATAATTTTGTTTATACCAGAGACAATTCTACTCTGCTGTCGGGCTGGACATGCCATTCCTGGAACTGTTTCATAAACATGGCTTCTCTCCTATCTCTCTCTTCCTGTTTCACTCTCTCCAGACGATCTCTCTCTTCTCGACGTCGCTTGGCTTCAGCTTTTATTCGTGCTAATCTGATTGTGTTATGATAAAACTCATTGATAATACCCATTGAAAAATTCTTGCACAACATTTTTAGTGACAAGCTGTACAATTTATAAGGTTTTAAATGATATTAGAAAAATATTAGTATAATTATAATATGATGTAGATACATTAACTCTCAGGGTTTTGGGGGCTTCTTTGTTTGTTTTTTGAATTGGTTTTGTTTTCGTTTTTTTAAATCATACTTACTAATAAATACACATTAAGTGTGAAATATAGAATCTGATGGTTAAATGATTTACACTGAATTATAACATTACCTATTATCTTCAATGTTAAAGAGCTGTTTCTTTAGCTCCTCAGAAACTTCTCTAATTCCTCTTACATAGGGTGAAGCCTCTGAGAAGTTACTATATTTAGGGTTGTTTCTCATCATGTGTTGTGCTAAGAAATTAATTGGGTTAAAGTCTGGATCTTCCATGTTCTCGTCAGTCAAGCCACGTTTATCAGCTTCTGATAATAACTTTTCAACTCCAAGGATCAGAGTTGGTAAAACTTTGTCAACCATGTATGTTCTTACTTCTAATGTAGCCTCATTGTCATTTAACCAATCTCTTGCAAGAATCTCAATGGGGATTTTGCGAGCCAGTTTCTTGGCATTTTCTTTCGAGCTTTTAACTTGCTGTTTTTTGTCATTACGCATTCCAACTAATTTTTCCATCATGCTTTGTTCATGCATTCGTTTCCATCGCCTAACAGCACTTCTGACAATGGGGCGAGAGTAATCTGTGGGGGATTTCTTTCCACTCCCTGGTGCTGATCTCTGTCCCGTGGATCCAGCACTACGCGGGGCAGCCATGGTTACCCGTTTGGTAGGGCTTCCTGGTTTCTGAACATCAGCCATTTCTATCAGGCAATGAAAATGTATACAAATCAATGCAAAGATTTTTTTAACTGCAATAAATTTATAAGACACGTTTTGTATGGCCATATACTGATATATTTGTGTTAAGCACCAACAGGTAAATCGGCAAGTGCTTGACTTCTGATGATTTTAATGTATCTACATATTTGCAGATTCTTGAACAATAAGAAAGGTTACCAACCTGGAATTTCTTTTATGCAAAATGTATAAGTTTTTCACATTTTGTAAATAGTTGTTAGTCCTCCATTACTCGTTGCTAGGAAGGAAGTCTTTGTCTATCAGACGCTTTAGTCAGGTGCTCGGCTTCCGTGCATGCGTAACTCCAAACGGAACTTGTAAGTTTCAGGAAGAGAACAGAATCTCGTTTGTTTTTGTTTTGGCAAACTTCACTGTCACTAGTGTCAAGCACATTTACTTAAATGATGTGAATACCATTTTGCGAAAAAGAGGAGGGAATAAATTGTGGAAGATGGCTCTTGTGACAGTTCAAAGATCTCCAAGCCCCAGTAACAGCACTGCAGAATCGGTAAATGACAATTTTCTTATTGTTTTGTGGAAAAGGGAGAATGTAAATGTTCTGCAGTTTTTCAGACACAAAGTTAAAATAACCCATACACAGGTGAAATGACACAGATAGTAGGTGAGCTTTGAGTGATACAAGGTTACTGTGTCAATTTGGAAGTATCAATATGACATGATAATTGATATTGACAAGAAATGGTGTGTACTGATTCACAGAAATTTGATAGTGATATGTGGAATAACAATTGTTACTATAAACAGTAAATATTACTTTTAGTTCTTTGTTTGGCTTTACTGGAAAGTCTGCTAAGAGAGTAAAAGTTTTATTGCACAAAAAGAGTTTTTGATTAAAATGAGTAATTTTTAGACAATAGTTTTGAGGTAATGCTGGTACTTTAATGCATTTTGATATAAAGATTTTCCATTCCCTACTTTGTAATTAAGAAAAAAATCGAATTGTCAGTTTTTCTTGAAGCAAAGGACATTAATGAGAGGGGATGTCTCTCAATTTCTTTAGATGTAGCTGCAGATCTGTAGCTCACAGTCTGAAAAAAAAATGGGATGGATGAACAGAGAGCTACATGCAGTTTCAGTCATTCAAAAAAGTGAACACAATTCTCAAGTTATATCTTTATGTTTTAGCTGCCATCTCAATGTGTTACTAACTTTGTTCCTAACTGATTATTTTACTATGTACTTCAACATCATTCTCCCACAGTTGTTTTTAATGGCTCTCCTAGGCTTGATAATGAAACCATCAAAATATTGCCTGTTCATACTGCCAATTTTTCTGTCATTGGATGGGTGTTTATTTTAGATTAACAATGACAAGGAGGGGAACATAAAGATCAATATTGAAAAGGATATATGCAATATCCTAAACCATATTTCTAAAATCTGGGGCTCATTGATTAAATTGTTATAGTTTGTCTGTATGTGGATTTTATACTCTAGGACAGGAAATATTATTCGGAGAAATATTTGTTCTGTCAGATATTTGAATTTACATAGTTTAGCATGAACAGTGCATTCAAATGCAAACAAAAGTGTTACATAATTCACTGTTCTGATAATTCCAAATCCCAAAGCGGTTCAATTTGGTGCCAATAGTCACACATTCTTTGTAAAAGTAAACAGTTTAAATGAAAGAATATGGGTTACAAGCCACTTCGATTAATTTTCCTGTATACTCATAAAACTGCAAAGCTTATGATAACCAAGCTTTTATACTGGAACAACAAAGGAAGAAATATTTCATTCTAATGAATTGTAATGAGGTGAAATTTACATGCATATACCAGTAATTGTGCAGTCCTGATGAATGTATGTCTCTCCATGTTTTTGAAAGCAGATTGTGTATAGAAATTCACATATTTATATTTATTGCAAGGTCATACAATCCACTCTCTGTTCAATAATCAATATGATGGTGCATGAACATATTTTTCCAATTATTTTCAACAGGAGGAGGTGGTATCCGAAGATGCAGATGAAGTCGACGCAGCAGGAAAAGCAGCATCACCCCCTCGACAGCGCAGGTCAGTGACAAGTACAACGTACTCAAAGGGAAGAGGGGACTTGTTCACAGCGTAAACTATTTCTAATTTCAAGAGTGGCTGATTGTAGACTGCTTACAGTATTTGAACTCATGCTATTGGGGTGACTAGCTTACACATCCTGAGAAAAACTTTAGATCATATATGTTTACTGAATATTAAGGCTGTGCAATAATAATTTTCAGTTATAATCTTTAGGGTTTTCAATTAAAGGTCTTAATTATTATATAAGAGGAAACTATACAGTTCCAATTGTCCTGTTGTCTGGGTACAAGGGTGTTCACCTGAGAAGGCTGTATGTATTGTAATCTTACTCTGTTTATGTAAACGAGTGAATTAATACAAGATATTTATGGAATGCCAAGCATCCTTGTTGTCATACAGTCTTTATCCTTGTGCTCCTAAAATTTCCTTTCTGACCTAAATTTGAGAAATAGCTATAAATTAAAAAAAAAAAAATAGATCACATTAACTTACTATGCTTAGTTATCACTGGCCAAAAATAATGCACCAGTATGGCAGTACAAAGGGTGATGGCTCTCAGCTGTCACAAGATGCATTGTAATTTTATTTCTGATATAGGGAAACACAGCTGAAATTTTGATATTATAATGTAAGGATTGAAGTACCTGGATATACTAGATTTAAAAAAAAAAATTAGACCATGAGGACCAACAGATAATATCAGTTAGCTAGTGAGGGTTCTTAATTCATTCCCTCAAAGGGACATTATTACATACTGTAAAAGAATATTTCTGGCATACAAAATGAAATGCCTCACTATAGTCTACCCCTTTTCTCTCTTCTTTCACACTAAGTGTTATATGAGATTATTTTTTTGATATATGAAATTTACCACAATTCGTATATTTCTTTCTTAAGATTTTATCTTGTATACAGCAATCTGCATATCAAAAAATGTAATCATAGAGTGAAGTGTATTGTGGCATTGAAGAAATTGCTGATTCAGAAACCAAAGATATTGAATGTAAAGATATTCTTGTAAAACTTAATCATCAAAATCTAGTCAAGTGTCATATACATGTACTGGTTTTTATATTTTTAAAATGAGGAGGTCAAGAAGCTGGGGGACTCATCCTTACTTTAAAAAAACCTTTTACATTTTTATCTCATAAACTCATGAAAACATTTTTGTATCAATTATTTTTATTTCACAGTTGTTTCTAATCAGATCTAAAATTAGCCCAGAGTTAAATAAAACCAAGGTAGATCTCTTTTCTTCAATTTGAAACATATGGGACAATTTCCTTAAATTGTCACGGTTGTTATTGTACCTGGGTGGGACAGGGCTTCATGTTATTTCCTTTATTGTCCAGCCATAAAATGTCATTTTCCTAATGTCCCATGATTATTGACTCTATCATTTGGATAAAGAAACTCACGACCTATTATTCTCAAGGACAGATAATTTCAATTCTATGTCAACCACCCCACTTCAAAATGCACAAATTTTTATCAAGCATAAATGCAAACAAATATTTAAAAATCAATATATCTTATTTAATGCTTTGGTCTTGTTTTGCTGTAATGACAAATTCAAGTTCAAAGTTTTATGACCATCTATTAAAATGTAATCTGTCTACTTAATAATACTGATTAAAAAAATTTCTCAAAAGAAATGGGTATTTTGATGTATTCTTTAAACTTCACTTATTGGAATGTAGAAATATTTTTTTAAAAAATTAAGAGATAGAGTGTATGCACCTAAGCAATGAACTGTAAACAGAGAAATCCATTGAACATGTTGAATTAATTTAACTATTTACACATTATTTTCAAATCTGTATTTGTCGTGTTTCACCTGAAAAAAGAAACAAACATCTTTAGAGGCTATTGAACCATGTCTTATCTTGGATTTGTATCATGGAAGTCCTTAAAACTCATAGTACCAGAAATAGAAAAACATGCCTCCAAGCTAAAGAAAGCAAGGGCTGGTTGGTTGTTGCCCAAATGTGTATCATTAAATTTGAACTCCTAAACTGGTGTTTGGAATTAAATTGTCAATTGAGCGTCATTGACAGCGGAGTCCAATATTGTTGAATTATGCAGTAAATGTCAGTTTGTATGCAGTGGTAGACTTTTGAACTTTGCGGCTGTTGGCACTCTGTAATGGCATTTATTGTCTTTTTGATGTGAGAGAAAACAAAGGATTTTAATGATAAGTCTGTGGATCCTATTAAAAATTAAACAAGCATGTAATCTTGTCGGAGGATGTGGTTAAGTGATTAAGGCAAGAGATTCCGTTGGAAGGGGTAATTGGAGTATGTTTTTGTATGAAGTTAAAAATCCAAATGACAGGTAAATTTTTTTTCATGCTTTTCTTTATTTCATAGTATACCAAATTTATGAATTCTACTTGAACACAGCATTGTTGCCCTATTAGCTTCAGTACATGTACAGATGTATAGTTATAAGTACCGGTACATTAATTTCTTGGTACTATATAAGATTTATTCAAAAAGCAATTGTTGTACTAGTATAAAAACTTTCATGTGTGTGAAGTTTATTTCGGAGGAATTTAATTAAGTTTGAAGGCTTATGATATACATATGAAATGTTACATAACTTGCTATGCAAATCTTTCTGATCAATATCTCAATTTATGAACCCCACATAGACAATTGTATGAATGCATTCTTCAGCACCATTATTTACATGTGTGCTAGCTATGCTGTCTGGACAAATATTGACCAATGTCTGGGAGCAATTGGAAGGAAACCATAATTGGCCTCATTTTTAAACCTTTTCTAAAATAGAAAGAAAATTAACTTTTTAGGTCACCTGAGTCACTCAGGTGACCTATTGTTATCCGTTTTTGTCTGTCGTCGTGCGTCGTCCGTCGTGCGTCGTGCATTAATTTTTGAACATTTTCAGCTTCTTCTCTAAAACCGCTCAACCAATTTCAACCAAATTTGGCATATAGCATCTATGGGTGAAGGGGAACAAAAATTATGAATTTCATGGTCCCTGCCCCCCTGGGGCCCCAGGGGTGGGGCTAAAACCACCAAAATTGATGCAATCTTTAAAAATCTTCTTCTTTACTCCTGGACATCAAGCAGTCAAATTGTTGGCATGATTGTAATAAGCATTGGACCCTCTACCTAAATTGTGAAATTCATGGCCCCAGGGTCAGGGGTTCTGGTGCTAGGGTGGGGCTCTATTGATTATATAGTGAAAATGCATTATTTCTTTGAAAATCTTCTTCTCTGCTCCTGGGTATTATTTAAACAAACTAAGTGCATGGTTATGACAAGCAATGATGCCTCTTCCAAAATTGTGAAATTCATGGCCCCTGGGTCAGGGGTTCTGGTGTTAGGGCGGGGCTCTATTGATTGTACAGTGAAAATGCATTATTTCTTTGAAAATCTTCTTCTCTTCTCCTGGGTATTATTTAAACAAACTAAGTGCATGGTTATGACAAGCAATGATGCCTTTTCCAAAATTGTGAAATTCATGGCCCCTGGGTCTGGGGTTAGGGGGGTGTGTTTCTATTGATTATATAGTGAAAAAGCATGAATTCTTTGAAAATCTTCTTCTCTGCTCCTGGATGTTATTTAAACAAACTAAGTGCATGATTATGACAAGCAATGATTGCTTTTTCCAAAATTGTGAAATTCATGGCCGCAGGGTCAGGGGTTCTGGTGTTAGGGCGGGGCTCTATTGATTATATAGTGAAAATGCATTATTTCTTTGAAAGTCTTCTTCTCTGCTCCTGGGTATTATTTAAACAAATTAAGTGCATGGTTATGACAAGCAATGATGCCTTTTCCAAAATTGTGAAATTCATGGCCCCAGGGTCAGGGGTTCTGGTGTTAGGGCGGGGCTCTATTGATTATATAGTGAAAATGTATTATTTCTTTGAAAATCTTCTTCTCTGCTCCTGGGTATTATTTAAACAAACTAAGTGCATGGTTATGACAAGCAATGATGCCTTTTCCAAAATTGTGAAATTCATGGCCCCTGGGTCAGGGGTTCTGGTGTTAGGGCGGGGCTCTATTGATTATATAGTGAAAATGCATTAATTCTTTGAAAATCTTCTTCTCTGCTACTGGGTATTATTTAAACAAACTAAGTGCATGGTTATGACAAGCAATGATGCCTCTTCCAAAATTGTGAAATTCATGGCCCCTGGGTCAGGGGTTCTGGTGTTAGGGCGGGGCTCTATTGATTGTATAGTGAAAATGCATTATTTCTTTGAAAATCTTCTTCTCTGCTCCTGGTTATAAAGTAAACTAAGAGTGTAGTTATGATGAACAAGAGTGCTTTTTCATGAATCATAGCCTCTAAGTCAGATGTCTGGTGTAAGGATGGGTCTCTATCGATAATATAGTGAAAATGCATTAATTCTGTTAAATAATCCTGTCTGCTCCTTAGTGTTGAGCAAATAAATAAAGTGCATAGTTATGATGAACAATTGAGCTTCTTACAAAATTTTAAATTTTTTTTTTTTTTTTGGGGGGGGGGGGGGCTATATTTGTTTATAAAATGAAAATGTGTTAATTCTTTGAAAATCTTCAACTAAATGCATAATTATGATGATGATGAGGGTACCTCTACCAAATTTATGAATTTCATGACCCGGGGACATGGGTGTTAGGGTAGGGGTGTGTTAAATCTGTAGTGAAAATGCATTATTTCTTTGAAAATCTTCTCTGCTCCTTGGCATATTGAAGACGAACAGAATTAAAGTTTTAATAAGCAAGGATATTTTTACCAGATTTTTGAACATCAGGACCATTTGGTAAAGTGTTCTGGTCCTAGTCAGGGCTCATGACCAGATAGACTTGTAAATAATAAATAGATAAAAAAGAGACAAAAATAACTTATTAAATGTTCTTCAAAGACCAAGAGAGGCCAATGTGACAGGTTGCGATGTGGGGTTAAAAGTAGTACAGAGGAACTATTAGTTTGTTAATAGTCTGCATGGTGATAGTGCTAAATGGGGGATAAATTAGAATTTAATGTATGAGTTGTTACTGAATACTAGACTAATTATTTCATTGATTCTGATCATCCTGTTTCTCTTGCTTTTGGGCAACAAAGCTTCATCTATCAGTTTATTTTATACTCTATGGATCCTCTAAATTGTTGTATTATACTCAGGTGACCGTTAAGGCCCTTGGGCCTCTTGTTAAAAAATTGAGTGTATGTATGTATTGTTTACTTTCACCTGAACTTTTATCTAGATACATTATGCTGCAGAATACACTACAGGGACGTAATGTCTTCTATGCGTAATGAACACACTCTGCTACGCGACCTTCCTCTAATTGTTATTCCAGTTCTGTTAATTCAAATTTGCTTCTTTTTTTTTCTTCCAACCATGGCACTTAATTTCCAGTGAAAAAGAAATGTTTAATATAGTTAATTGATTGTGATAAGGGACATAATTTCTAGTTATTTAAAACATTAACAAAATTAACCTGACATGAACACCATTAGCCCAGGCACAGGGATTCTTTTGATCTCTTTGTTAAACAAGAAACCTTTTAATGCTCTGTTTGTTTGTTCACATTGTGTAATATTCTGGTGAATGTATTTTGAGTTGAGTGCACTATCTTATAAAGTACCTCCATTCAATAGTATTATTTTCTTAGTGGTCTACTAAATCTATGGACTGTCATAAGATACTCCAGTAGATCTGCAGATTGACTGTATAATTCTGTGGTAGAAGAAATCTTCACAAAGATTCAGATTTACCAGTATTTTTGGGCAGTTTAGATAAAAGCATGTATAAAACTCAGAAAGACTCCATCATGTTTATAGAATATTAAATTGTATGTTATTAAGTATGGTCCCTTATGTTATGTTTCCTCAAATTATACCTACTTGGTAGAAATGTATAGGTATTTAAGGAAAAAATTGAAGGATGCATTATACTTGTGTATGATTTGATAATTTTAAAATTAAATAAGCTGTAAAAAATAATAACTTCCTCATATGAAAATAAGTTTCTTAGTGTCACTATATAGTTCAGGAAGAGATGACAAAGATTTTACAAAGTGATGGCTGGTCGATTTATAAAAAAAAAAAAAATCCTTATTATTAATAAAAATCTTGGGATGCAAATCTACTCTTTCAAATTCCCTCTATATTGTCTGTAAGGTTTCCTTCATTTCACTGATAAATCACTTTGGTCATGTTGGTAGCCCTTATTCAAAGCTAAAGAGATGAAGTTAATTTATAAGAGAAGTTTGATATAGAAATGTCCAATAAATGAAATTTTCGGTATCAGTAAATAAATTTACCAAACTCACTTTATACTTGGAGGAATAGCTACTCAAAGATGTTTTACAACATAAAATTATGTTATTACTGGTAAGCTTTGTATGAGAAAACATTTTTGAATTAAAATTTCAGTATTCCAGTTGATATAAGTAAAAAAAATAGTTTAAAATACTGATATAACATATACAATCTTAGCTGTGTATATGTAGCTTCAGCATTCACAAATGCATATGATCTTCAAAATATTGATAGTGTTAAATTTGAGATTAACATATACCATTAAATTGCCACAAGTAAATAGCTGAAATTTTGAAATCTGCAACTGATTATTTACAGTTCTAGTTAAATTAATACAAGTTCATGTATTAGATCTGCTTGCACAAAGAAGTATCAATATTATATATCAAAGCATTTTCAAAATCAACGAATTATGTTGATATAGAATCTGTGAATGACTGTAAGTTTTCATTTGATTTATTATTTTTTGGAAAAGCAGACACGTTATTAACCCCATGATAAATTAGGTTTATGTGGAATATATTGCATTGATATTTATGGACTCTCAGCATTGTTGTCCACTTCTCTGTTCTTATTACTCATTGGATAACTCAATCATTTAGAAAGTCAATATTGACTGCAAGGTAGAGATCAAGGTCAATCTCAGAAATTAAAGACTGATTAAGAATTCCCCACCTGTCTGCTAAGTGGGATGTGTTTTGTAACTACATCTTGTATAGTTTTTTGCACTGACTCATCATTTATAATGATATTATTGTCTCTTACAATTCTGTTAATTGATATGACATCAGTACTATTGTACCAGTAAGAAAGTAGTGTTAAATCTATAGCAAACTAGCATGGCGCGGCGCCATGCCCTTTTTTTCCAGCGCCATGCCCTTTTTCTGCTTGCCAAAAATAAATAATATGCCCAACAGTGGAGATTGACTAGCTGCTCTGTTTATTCAGTGCATGCTGATTAGCCCTTTTGTTTATTTAATGTATACTCAAAGGTGTGAATTCACGGCAGGAAATTACTTCTCGCTTGAACGCACACAGCCACCTGGTCAGGTAACATGCCTCAGGCTGTTGGGGTATAGGAGATAACATGAGAAAAATATCATTTGATTGCATTGAATATGCAAGAATTAGCCCAATGTCTAAGATATATGAACTTGTGAATTAAATTAATTAAGACAGAATCGTTTTTTTTAAAACTGAAAGTAGGAAAAAACCATAGTTGATGGTGAAAAGTGTAAAACAGTCTGCTCATTTAATCTGAATAAACTCAACTTGTATTGCACCAAAACTGAATATTATATGAGAAATGGGCTTGGAAAAAACAAAGTATGAAGTGAATTTCTTTGAATGATGTTTTGTTCTTTAAGAGTTGACACCCTGAGGGTCAATTAAAAGCATTTAACAAGATTTGCTTCATTAAAGTTTTAAATTTTTTTTTGTTTAGATCAAAATTTTCACATGATAATATTGATAGATTATTTTCCAAATAAAGAAATTGCCAATAACAATTATTTTCTAAGTAACCCCCCCCCCCCCCCCCGAATTTTTTTTTGTTTTTTGCATGTCATACTCCAATAACACTATTCCAAACAGGAAAAAATCCTGGGATGCCTCCAACTGATAATTCTTGGTGCATGCAATAGCTAGATTCACACCTATAATAGTTTTTAAAATAACCTAATATCTAATTCCTTGTGTAAAAAATTAAATGCATATTTTTTAATTGTCATGTCAGTGTGTGAATTGTATTATGTTGTTTTTTCTTTTTTAAAAATGAATAATTGAAAACAGATTTATAAATTTCATTACCTTTTAATTACTTGTATACAATGTAAATAAAGATTTTAGTATAATAATAATCAAAGTACATAAAGTAAAAGTTTATAATTGCAAAGGCACGTTAAAGAGTGCCCCCATGAAAACTTGTCGCAGAATAAAGTGCCCTTTTGATTTTTGGATTACCATGCCCTTTTTAGGGTCTAGATTTAACACTAAAGAAAGTGAAAACATACAACTGAGGGTGTTTTTTTGACACATTTAGAACAAGTACTTATTGTAGAAGGAAGGAAACAGGTCATTCCAAGGGAAGTTGGTCCTTATCCAGTTATGATATTCAGGACAAGTTCTCTATCTCGCTCTGCATAAAATTCATCTCAGTGCTTGGTATTCTCTTTCCTTTCCCCCCCCCCCCCCCCCCCTATTTCTTTCCATGGACTTCATCTCTTAAGTCGGTTCTGTAAATTGAGTATATGCCACATTGTCTAATATGAACAAATTACAAGATTATCATTCTGTGGGAGTTTTCACTCTATTTCTTTTTGTCTTGACCATATTTTCTCATCAGATACTCTCCTAATGAACAGTTTGAACTATTTTTTAAAGTATGAAATTGGTCAAGATCTTGGTAAAGCATTTTGGATATTTCAGAAATGTTAAGCACGGTTGTATTAGTTCTTAACTTGTAAACAAGGATTAAACACATAGCCTGTCAGTCATACAACCCCTACTAGGACATGCAGTGAATGACAAGATCTCTGTTCATCTTATTCATGTAAAAATCTCTACATACAAAAAAAAGTAAATGTACCAGAAGGAATTAGTCAAAGCGAATAATGAACTTGCATCTCCTTATTGGATAAACACAGCCTGGAACCAGACATCTTTTCCTATTATATACTCTTGATATTTGTAACATTATCGTCTGAAAACAATTACATGAAAAAATAAAGAAAAGGGAATTTTTTCATCACAAGACACATGCCCCCAGGGGTGATACCGGTAATTTTCATTTATTTATTTAAAAATTCAAGGTCATGAAGTTGCTTATTTTGTGAAATTTTCATTTCTTGAAATTTTCTGCTTATTGAAGCAGCAATATTTACCAAATACCCCCCTCCCCTCAAAAAATGATGGAGAAGTGTTTTGGTAATGACCAATTATACATTTTTACAGCCGGATGACTTTGGTAGTTGAAACGGAAAGGTAAGAGATGGATCATAATCCATCAGGATTTACCTCATTTCGATATTGTTTTATTTTTATATCTGTATGCCCTCAGCATGACCTGTTCTTTGTACTGTATTTTGCCGTCTTTATTAATAACGTAACTCTTCCAGGACCAAGACAGCTGCTAAGAGACTCAAGAAATTTTTCCATACGGTCCGATTCATTTCCAAATTGAGGCCGTGAGTTTCGTCTCTCTCTTTCTCATGCATGCACATGTCTCTTTCCTGTTTGCTAGCTATATATAGTCGTTTATATTCCTTTTATGCAGTGTGTATAGAATCAATTGACATATAATGCTTTTGATATGGTGTTTTTGATGTGTTTATCTTGCAGTGTGTGTCATTTGTATCAATTTAAATATAACGCTACATTAACAGCATGTTATCAGGGTATGAAGACTCAAGATAGATCTTTCAAGATTGACAATGCTCATTGAATGATTGTAAAGTAAAAAAAAAAAATAACAAACAATTTTTAATACTTAGGGGGTGTTCAGTTAGAAATATATGAGGCGCCGTTTTGGTATTTACTGCCAAAAAGTGATATCACCTATTCGAATAGGTGATATCACCTATTCAATTGGTGATATCACCTATTCGAATAAGTGATATCACCTATTCAGCTTCTGAATAGGTGATATCACCTATTTGAATAGGTGATATCACCTATTCGAATAAGTGATATCACCTATTCGAATAGGTGATATCACCTATTCAATTTGAATGAGTGATATCACCTATTCGAATAGGTGATATCACCTATTCGAATAGGTGATATCACTTATTCGAATAGGTGATATCACTTATTCGAATAGGTGATATCACTTATTCCTTTTGAATAGGTGATATCACTTATTCGAATAGGTGATATCACCTATTCAAATCAAATAGGTGATATCACCTATTCGAATAGGTGATATCACTTATTCGAATAGGTGATATCACTTAATCATTTTGAATAGGTGATATCACTTATTCCAATAGGTGATATCACCTATTCAAATTATTTATGAAATAACAACTGCTCCCAAGACTACAGCCTTTAATTCTCATTTACTTTCACTTTCGTTTTATAACTTACCATTCTTGCAGACAATGGATTACAGCTTCGCATTTAGTTTTAAGCAGCCCAGTAGAATTTGTAGTTTGTTTTGCTCACAAATTATATTTATTACACTTATCTATCATGTATACTATAGGAAAATTCAAAGGGTCTGTAAGTCTCGTTGACTTTCACTTTCGTTTTATAACTCCCGGGTACCTGAGCGTTCTTGGAGACAATGGATTACTTAAGTTGTAAGCATCGCAGTGGAATTATTAAACTTGTAGTTTGTTTTAATTCCCGATTGTTGCAAAGAAGAGGAGAAAATGGATTGATAAGATGCAGGTGAATAGCGTTTAATTGCTTTATTTTTTCATTACATAACGTAAACACAAGCTATTCCGAGGGGGCCAAGATTAGCCAACATACTTAAGCATAAAGGGAAAATTAAATCGTTTTTATTCTAAAATCGTCTGTATTCAAAAGGTACTCTTATCTACAGATTGGTTTCATAAATTTAAAGCATTGATTTAGCTTACAATATGGTATAATTTGGAGTATTGGACAGGTATACATGAGATTGGGATATTGAATGCGATGTCATTGAAAGCAAATAAAAAAATAGATGTACCCAAATGCATCGACCATGGGAATACAAAGTTGAATACCACGTCGATAGCATATGATCTTTGTAGAAAACACATTTTTTTTTAATTTAATTACTACAATAAAAAAAAAATGGTCAGCTCAAAATTGGTCATTCTGTAGGCTACCCTGTCTATTCAGAAATAAAAATGGTCACATACACTAAAAAAATAATTATTTTTTATTTTACAAAGAAGAAGGCATTTTTTTCATTTACACATACAAACTGTATTAACTGCCAAGTTTCATGACCACCCCCCCCCCCCTTTTCCAATACTTCTACAATTATGAGACAGACTTTTTTTTTCTTGAAATAGGCATTTTTCTCCATTTGTCATAACATATTACAGGGCTGCACAAGGTACTGAAAAAGGGACAGCGCTTTGAGTGAATGTGTTATCCATGTATCTGCAAATGAAGCAGATCCCCCAGTTATTATACTCATGGAGAGTGTAACAACTTCCAACTTGTTAATGACAGAACTCCATTTAAATCAGGTACAAGTTAAAGTTTAGGCTGCACAATTCTTTATTACAATATTCAAAACTTAATAATTCAGGATCAAGTTCACACAAGCTCACATTCCATGGTTACTTACAACACCATTATGCTAGATAAATTTGTTATACACTTTCATGTTAAATAGTCAAATTTGATTGGTTTAAAAAACATTTGTTAACAAGTACTATTACCATACTGCATGCCAGACATTACATCCCAATGGTTGAAAATGCATGACTACGGGTAACAGTATATACAGTAATAAAAAATGTTAACTGTGCAGAATGTTTGCACGTTCGTTTCACCTTGTTGTTTTCTTTAAAATGCATTCTATAACAAGAAAAATATTACCTGTTTATTTTGGGTGATGTGAAATTCTTACCCCTTAAAAACCATTGCTGACCGAGGCGAGGTCAGCGATGGTTTTTGTGGTATAACAATTTCACGTTATCCTACTAAACTTGTAATATTTTCATGTTATATGTACTTCTATTTGTAAATGTTAATGACTGTGAAAAACATAAATATTTATAAATTAGTAAAATCAATTTAATACACTATGAATACACAAAAGGACAAATTTGTACATAATTCTCTATGATTTGGTTAATAAGTTTATATAAAGGATGTAAATGGACATGACATATCATTGTTAATATTCCAGAAAGTGTTCACTGTTTTTCTTGTAGATGCTTCTTTCCATCTGATGTTTTCCAGGTTTTTGTGAAAAGTTTTCTTAAAAATGGCACCATTCAACTACAAATACTAGCCAGTGGAACTGTGATATCAATCAACTGCTTATGACACTATTAATTGGCAGAGAATTTATTTTTTTTTTATTTGGGACAAGCAATCTGTTTCAAACATTTTATACCTGCAAATTGGTACATGTACTTCATGAAATGCTTGAAGGATGCTAAAGGCTACTGAAATTCCAAGCCAGATGAAATTCAAAAGGATTGATACAAAAGTCATTTGAAGTTTTCTATTCTTAGTGATGAGTGTTTTTCAGGATGCCCTCTGATATCATAGGTACAACTGGTCACTGTCCTTTGTTAGTTACACATGCAGACAACTTATTAAGGCAGTGATATAAGTAGCTCGAAGTGATGCTTTATTGTTTTCCTCAGATTTATAACCTGGATTGATCTCTGATGCAGTAATTTAAAGCCATGTCTTTTCACTGTCACAAAGTACTGAAATAAAAATAATTTTGATTAAAATATTTCTTTTAATTCACATCATTAAATTTTTAAGCTACAGAAATTCAAATTAATTACCTATTAGTAAATAGAAATCTTTAATTGATTAGCAAGCCTTTGCATTGTCAGATCCTTTTCTGAAAGGGCCATTTACCTTTAACAATGTCAGGACAGGTGAGGCAACTGGCTGGTCTTCATGCTGGAAGTGTGTGTTAACTCTGTAATCTTTTTAAACAAAACCATCCAGTGATGTCCTAAGATTGCCAGATGAGCAGACATATACCTGTATTTAAGAAAGATTCTGTAACATGACATAGAATTTTTGCACAGCTTGACGCACAACTGATGGTATCTTAGGTGCCTGCAAAATAATAAATCTGGCACATATTTATTTATTTGATACAAATCAGAACAAAATTTGTCCTTTTACAGAACAAATTATTTTCATTTTAAAGAAAAGAGAAATGCATATGTACTGTTTTAATACATATAACCTGTATTATTGGATATTTTCACCCCATTCTAATTTTTAAAATATTCACTCTTTCACCCTTGAAAACAATTTTGCCCTTTTAAAATTTGATCAGACACATTTGTGTTTAAAAGATATATGCTGCCTTCTTCGAATTTGTCCCGTTTTAAATTCACCTACTTGTAAGGAGGGCAGAATGAGAAAAATAAAACTTAACTGGGGCGAAAAATTTCCAGAACAAAGTACCATTACTTGCCTGCCTGTTGTACTATAACTCCTCCAACCTTACAATATTCTATAATCATTGCTTTCATGCGATACCCCCCAGTGGATTGATGGTCTCTTTTCCAAATTATATGCACTTTCTAAAAAGAATGAATTTGTCAATTTATAAAATTTAGTAATACAAGTTAATAAAGACAGTAAAACAATGTTAACAACATTTATATGCAAATGAACCTCTGTACAAATCACTTATAAATGATTGACAACTTGTATGGAATATATCGAATACCCTTAATTTTGACATTTGGAAACCCAGCGTTAAGGCCAAACAAAAAATATGTGTGGTTCTGGTTACACCTCCAAAAAAAATAGGGAAGGTGGGTAGGGATTTTTTTTTTTTTTTTTTTTTTTAACAAAATGATTTTCTAAATTTTTCCAAATAATACCTATTTCTTTTCGTTAGCATAAGTGAACTATTTTATGTGTAGAGTGTTAGATATGTTTTCTCTTAAGCATATGGATTAGATATGTGCTTTAATGTGTGAATAAAATGTCTTGGGTATTTAAACAGTTGTTTGCTGATTCTATTCATTCGAGTTCATACTCATCCAGAAAATACAATGTTTGAAGATCGAAAATCAGCATGAGCAAATTGAATTATTTAACTGATATTTGGATATTATATTTTCTTTTTTTAGAATGTTAAGTTTTTACGAAGATGATAAGTGCTGTCCTTGTTTTTAAAGGATGATATTAATTTCAGAATTGTATATTATAAGTAAAATTAATGGATATCTTAAGCATTATACATTAAATCTTAAATATAGATCATGATTTCTCCATCGGAATCTGCTGCGGAAGTCTTTATACAGGTATATAAAATCTAAAATTGTATATTATAGAATGCGAAAAAACAGAAATATTTTGTGAAGAGCTGAGTATATAAATCATAACTAATAAATGTTTTGTTTATTTTGAATTCAGTCTTTTCCAACTATGGTTCAGAAAAGAAATGTTTTATTTGTGGATGAACAGAGTGAAGGAGAAAATAAGTGGCATTTCAATGTGGCGTGAAATATACTAGTCAACATTG